CCTGGCCGATGCGTTCCATGATACGAAATGGTCCAAAGTATCGCTTGGAGAGCTTAAAATTAAGCCTTCGAGCTGCGGATTGTTGGCGGTAAGCATGGAATTTAGTCCACACCCATTGGTCCACTTCAAAGCTCTTGTCCATGCGCTTAGAATTGGCATACTTTTGCATGCGATGTTGTGCTCTAGTCAGGTTGGCTTGTAGCAATTTTTGAATTTCTTGGCGGTCTACCAAAGTTAAATCAACTTCATCCACAGATGTTGTGCCTGGGGTGTAAGTAGGCAACAATCTTGGGTTGGAGCCGTATAATGCTTGATGAGGAGTCATCTCTATAGCAGTGTGAAAAGTTGTATTATAACATAGCTCAGCCCATGAAAGGTGAGTGTGCCACTGGTTCGGATGATCAGAAGTGAAGGCACGGAGGTATTGTTCAAGGCATCGGTTGACTACCTCGGTTTGGCCATCGCTTTGTGGGTGGTAAGCAGTGGAATAATGGAGTTTAGTTCCGCCAGAGCGCATGAGTTGACGCCAAAAGGTACTTAAAAAAATTGGGTCCCTGTCGGAGACGATGCCTCGGGGAAGGCCATGAAGCTTTACTATTGAGTCTAAGAAAATATGGGCCACTACTTTAGCTGTGAAACCTGGCTTGAGAGGCAAGAAATGGGCATTTTTTGTCAAGAGATCCACAACAACAAAGATTACTGTATAACCATGGGAAGAGGGAAGACTCACAATGAAGTCCATGGAAATCTCAGTCCATGGGGCGGTAGGAATTGGTAAAGGTTGAAGAAGGCCTGGGGTCTTGGTGGTCATGTATTTTGTCTGTTGGCAAGTAACGCATGCAGTCACATATTTTTCCACAGATTGCTTCATGCCTGTCCAGTAAAATTGCTCTACGACCCTTTTATATGTTTTCAAGGTTCCTGCATGTCCTCCCTGTGGGGTAGAGTGAAATTCATGGAGCACTTTTTCAATAATAGGAGAATCCTTTGGGATGTACATACGAGACTGATACAATAGGAGACCATTTTGTAAACAAAATCCAGGGGGAAGCTGGTCACGACGCTGCAGCTCATGATACTTGAGTAGTTCTGGTGCAGATGTATTGGCTTTGCGTAATTCAGATATGATGGCACTTTCAAGTTGGGTATAAATATGGTAGTGAGTAGCTGGTAATCGAGATAAGGAATCTGCAACAGAATTGGTGTTTCCTGCACGATAAACAATATCAAATTCATATCCCAAGAGTTTGGTGAGATAATATTGTTGTTCTAGTGTTTGAATCACTTGTGACATCAAATCTTTCAAACTTTTATGATCTGTTTTGATGGTGAATTTTTTTCCCAGCAAGTAGTGCCTCCATCTTGCGACTGCCTGTGTGATGGCATAAAGTTCACGCACATATGTGGATGCTTTGGTCATCTAGGGAGAGAGCTTCTTACTAAAAAATGCCAAGGGATGGCCGTGTTGGGATAAGATTGCTCCAATGCCCTGTGTGCTTGCATCGGTTTCAACCTCAAATGTAGATGAAAAATTAGGAAGAGCGAGGATAGGGGTTGATGTGAGTGCATGCTTGAGTGTCTCAAATGCTAATTTTGCCTCGGGTGTCCAATGAAAACGATCCTGTTTCAACATATCGGTAAGAAGGTATGCGATAGTGGCATATCCCTTTACAAAACGACGGTAATATCCAGTGATTCCCAAGAACCCACGTAATTGCTTAACATTATGGGGTAATGGCCAAGAGACAATGGCTTCTATTTTAGTTGCATCGACTTGAACTCCCTTTGCAGACACAACATGACCCAAGTAATGTACGGATGGTTGAAAAAAATCACATTTAGAGAGCTTAGCAAAGGTTTTGTAAGGTTGTCAAAACCATACGAAGGTGATGAATGTGATCCTCCTTGCACTTGCTATAGATCAAAATATCGTCAAAGAAAATAGCAACAAATTGACTAAGAAAAGGTTTAAAAATTCGATTCATTGTTGCTTGGAAAGTGGCTGGAGCATTAGTGAGGCCAAATGGCATTACCAAAAATTCGTAGTGCCCATTATGAGTGCGAAAAGCTGTCTTGTGGACATCACCCTCAGCCATGCGAATTTGATGAAATCTCGAGCGTAAATCAAGTTTGGTAAAAATCACTGCCCCATGTAACTCGTCTAGGATCTCATCAATAGTAGGCATTGGGAATAAATCACGAATTTTAATTGCACTGAGAGCACGATAGTCAATACAGAAAAGCCAGGAACCATCTTTCTTCTTCACCAAAAGCACTGGAGAAGAAAAAGGGCTAGTGCTATCACGAATGATGCCTGATTGGTGCATTTCAGCCACTAAACGCTCAATCTCTGCCTTCTGGAAATGTGGATATTTATATGGGCGAGCTTGGACTGGTTTGGAATATTGTTGCAAAGGAATTTGATGAGTAGTATCCCGAACAGGAGGTAACCCCTTTGGCTCTTGAAAAACTGTTGCAAATTCAGTTACCAATTGTTGTACAATATCGGGGAGTTCATGAGTGACAGTGGGTTGATCTTCCTGTAGATGTTGCATGGTATAAACAGAAGAAATATCATCATGAAGGAGCATCTTCTGCATACAATTATTTTTTAGCGAGTCTGGGTATAACAATTGCTCCGCATGTAGGATAGTAGGAGTTCCCTTATACATGAATTCCATTGTCAAAAGGTTATAGTCGGTCAGTACTCGACCCAAGCCCTGGAACCATGACAAGCCAAAGACTAAATCGGCACCGGAAATCGCTAAATGATGTATATCAATAGGAAAAGAAACTCCTTATATTAGGATGGGAATATTAGAACTACAAGTGTTGCACCATAAGAAGTCACCGCTACCCACAATTACTTTAAAGGGTGAGATTGCGGTGGAAGGTATGCTCAAGCATTGCGCAACCTCAGGCTTAATGAAATTTAGTGAACTGCCACTATCCACCAAAATATTAATGGTGTGTCCTTGGTAGGAGCCCTTCAAACGCAATGTGCGAGGACTATATTCCCCCGAGAGAGCGTTGAAACTAATCTCGGGCGTGGTTGCATTGTTTGTGGTTATGTCATCCTTGGTTGTGTCATTTGACAATGTGTGACACATGTCTTGCAAATCTTCGGGAGCTAAGAGGACATAACATTTAGCTTGGCATCTGTGTGAGGGGTTGTATTTTTCATCACAATAATAACAAAGCCCTTGACGACGCCTCTCACGTAGTTCTGTTGTTGTAAAACGTTTGTAAGGAAGTTTAGTGGGTGCTGGATTGGTGTCTGGTGTGTGTGTAAGTGAAAGCGGTGGTGGGTCAATTGGTTTAGTATGTGTTGAGGGGTGTGGAGGAGGTGGTTGGAGGCTTTTGGGGCGGTTATTTGGTAATGTAGAGGGAGAAGAGAAGGGTGGTTTCAAGGATTGTCGTAAGGCTGCATGGTTTTGTTCATGAAGACGGGCTAGGGAAACTGCTTCATGGTAGGATGTTGGTTTGGCCAACCGAAGTTGACACTTCAAGTAATCGTTCAAACCTGCCACAAAAAAACTTATGAGCCATTAATCTGACAAACCTGTGACTTTAGTGGAGAGAGCCTCAAATTGATTTTGATAATCAGCCACTGTGCCTTGTTGTTTCAACTCTTTTAGGGCCTCTTGAGGATTGGTGTAGAGATCTGTGCCAAAGTGTTTGTAGAGCGCATCAACAAAGACCAGCCAATCTTGGGTATAGTTGTTGCGGATTATCCATTTGTACCATGCATAGGCCGGGCCTACCATGTGGAAGCTCGCATATTTAATGCGTTGCTCCAAGGGAATTCCAGTAATATCAAAGTATTCTTCCAAGCGAAAAATCCAATCATCCACATCGGTGCCATCAAACGAGGGAAGGTCACACTTGAGGTCCCTGTAAGATATGCGGGTGGTAGAAGAAGAGGGCTGGCCAGTAGGTACGGAATGGTGGGGACCACCTTCATTGTCATCTTTACGGGGGGTGTTGTTCTCAATCATAGTCATCATTTTTGATAAATGAGATTCGATGTGCTCTTGAAAGCTTATGCGTTGTTCTGTATCATGCCGCGTGTCACTCTCAATGCGAGCCAACTCACTTTCTATCTTGCTAAGTCTCGTGCCGTCAGCCATGGGTACTCAATGAAAGCACCAGTGTTGAGCTTTATTCGAGTCAAGCCCAGAACTCCACAAGAGAAGAATTTCTCTTAAACACAATTCTTATTTTCTTCCTCTGCATAGTCCACATAATGGTCTTATTTAAAAGTGTGCATGTAACTAACATCCTATTTCCATGCACTAGATAACTAAGATAATAATTTAAATTGCAGAATCAAATAACTAATTGATAAACATAAAGATAAAATAAAGTAATCATGAGATAACAAAATCTATTGCCCATAATGGTGCTCCCTTAATTCTCGGTTCTTTCTTCCTATTTTCTTGGGGTGTATCAGAGCTCATTTGATCATTGAATAAGTTTATAGTAAATCTAAGTAAATTTAAACCCTAAATCAGTAATCACAAGTTAGTGGAGCTATTCATTTGAACATTGAATAAGTTAATAGTAAATTTAGGTGACAATCTTTATTTGGCTACCACAAATCATTTGTAAGAGCTAACCTTAACCATTATCTACTCACCAAGTATGACTTATAACGAGGATGTCTTTTTTTGATTCTCTTCACCGCCGTGCACGGTCGCCGGTTGCAATTTTTAGCGACCCATTTGTCCATGCAAACCATTTGTTGGCCTTTCTCACCATAACATCTATCTCAAAAAGTAAAAATTAAAAAATTCATACCTAATCTTTGACCACTTATTATTATGCATATTGATATTCACATTAGATGCCTAGTGAGTACAGATAAACAATCAGAGTGCATGATAAAAAAACCCTAGGAGGGTGGAAAAAAAATTCCAAAGTGCAATCATTTTTTTCTTATGAAAGTATGTAACTAAAACCTGTTTCCTTTTTTTTTAAAAATTATTTTTTTTATAATTTCAGTTTGAGGGTCCATGGGCGCCAAAAACTCCCTCTCCCCCAAAATTTGCGTCCCCGCCAAAGACAATGGTCCGGAAACGCACCCATTTCATATAAGTTCAACCGACGCTTCAGAACTTCACACTCTCACCCTCTCAAGTGAAAAAAAAAAGCCTTTTGAGGGAAAGGAAGACCCTCACGAAATGGGTTCCGCTTCTCTTCTGGATTCTTCCACTAACAACCCTTCTCAACCCTCTTCTGCTTCAAAATCAGGTAATAACAATACCAATTTTATTGATATATATATTTCCCTCTCTCTTCTTTAGGTTTCATTTTGTTTCATGTGCTTTGCTTCTGTGCCCAAGTAGTCACTACTCTCTGGGGTATGTGTTCTGTTCTCACAGCATGGAATTTTTTGTGTGTTAAGAATGTTTTTTTTTTTTTTTTTTTAAACCTTTTCAGACACCCATTTGTGTTTACTCGTGATTTTGTGTTAAAGATTCGATCTTTCGGTTTTGCCGTGGGTTCTAGCTTAGGGGCTTCGGAGTTATTGCAGATTTGACCTTGAAGGGTCATTTTGGTCATTTCTATCGGTAGATTTCTTCTGAATTTTCCTTGTTTCTTTAGCCATATTCTGCCTTCTACTTAGCGATTGTTAATGTTGTTTTTAGTCTTCCATTTTTTTTTGTTTCTTTAACGATATTCTGCCTTCTATTTACTGTATTTTCCCCCTCATTTCAATTGGATGCACTTGTGAGCATTGGTGACCAAGATCACTGGTTGAGTAACTAAGTGGTTCAATCTTTATGTTTTAATGTCTTCAACGTTCAAATTCAAGTCATGCAGCAATGGTAGATAGCGGAATTAATGGCTTTTTCATAAATGCATTATTGCTAGGTGTAATGACCGGGTATTAGTAATGCATTGCGATGAATAGCAAATAGATTTTAAATCGTCATGTACTTGCTCCCATATTTATCCATTCTATACATTTTTTTTGATCATTTTGTGGAAGTTCTATTTCCTTTTCCTTTTTTCCCCTTCTATTTTACAGGCATAGTGGATGATTATTATTCTTGGATATCACTTATTTCTGTCACTTTTACAGGCCTTTCTTGATTGTCTTTGTAGTGGCCTTTACACCACCTACACTATTTTCTTTGAAAAATTTATGAATTCATGTTTTTTTGTTCTTGAAATAGGTGTTGAGAACGGTAAGAGTAAACAGAAGTCTGTTGTTTCCAATACTGACGAGGAAGTTGTGGCCAAAGATAAACAAAAGAAGCGAAGTTTGTCGAAGAGCAGTGAGCAGCCAAACGGCAAGAAGAATAAACAGAAATCTGCTGTTTCCAAAACTGAAGAGGAAGTTATGGCTAAAGATAAACAAAAGAAGCAAAATTTGACAGAGAGCGAAGGGCAGTCAAATGACAAGAAGAGTAAACAGAAATCTGTTGCTTCCAAAACTGAAGTGGAAGTTATGGCTAAAGATAAACAAAAGAAGCGAAATTTGTCGGAGAACACTGCAGCTATGCGCAAAATGCCAAAACGTGCTGCAGCGTGTACAAATATGAAGGAGAAGTCCTTTTCAATATCCGAGAAGTCTTGTCTCATTGAAACAGAGGAGGATCAGATTGTAGAAGAAGAAATTCTAGCTGTTCGCATGACTGCTGGACAGGATGATGGTCGTCCAAATAGGAGAATTACAGAGTTCATCCTCCATGGTGAAAGTGGTACAAGACAGCCACTTGAGATGCTGGAAGTTTATGATTTATATATCAGTGGGGTTATACTGCCGCTTGAAGCAAGCACAGGCAAGAAGAAAGAGAAAGGTGTTAGATGTGAAGGCTTTGGTCGAATTGAATCATGGGATATATCTGGCTATGAAGATGGCTCTCCAGTGATATGGCTTTCTACTGATGTTGCTGATTATGAATGCCATAAACCTGCCACTAGTTACAAGAAATATTATGATCATTTCTTTGAAAAGGCCCGTGCATGTATAGAGGTATACAAAAAACTTGCCAAGTCCTCTGGTGGGGACCCTGATATCAGTCTTGATGAGTTGCTTGCAGGTATGGTGCGGTCTATGAGTGATAGCAAATGCTTTACTGGAACTGCATCCATAAAGGATTTTGTTATTTCTCAGGGTGAGTTTATTTATAAGCAACTCATTGGTTTGGACATGACATCCAAGACAAATGACAGGATGTTTGCAGATATCCCTGCTCTTGTTGCTCTTAGAGATGAGAGTAAGAAACAAGCAAACTATGTACATGCTCAAGTAATGCCCTCAGATGGGACTCTAAGGATTGGTTCAGGAATTGGAGATGAAGAAAACAAGAATCAGATGGATTTAGTGGCTTCCGTAGATGAGGAAGATGAGGATGCAAAGCTAGCACGGCTGTTGCAGGAAGAAGAGTATTGGCAATCTATGAAGCAGAAGAAAAACTCCAGATCAACCCCCACATCTAACAAATACTATATCAAAATCAATGAAGATGAGATTGCCAATGATTACCCTCTTCCTGCTTATTATAAAACCTCTGTTCAGGAAGCAGATGAGTTTATACTTTTTGATAATGACTATGATGCGTATAACACTGAAGATCTTCCAAAAAGCATGCTGCATAATTGGTCTTTATACAACTCAGATGCAAGATTGGTTTCCTTGGAACTTCTTCCTATGAAGCCTTGTTCAGACATTGATGTTACCATCTTTGGATCAGGTTCAATGACTCCAGATGATGGAAGTGGGTTCCATCTTGATACTGAGCCTGGCCAATGTTCTTCCACTGGTTCTGGAGCACAGGTTGCTGATGGAATTCCAATTTATCTGAGTGCCATAAAGGAATGGATGATTGAATTTGGATCATCTATGGTTTTTATATCCATCCGGACAGATTTGGCCTGGTATGATGCTTCTTGTCTAAAATAAATGATATTTTTTTTAAAATATATTTCAAATGAAATTAAAATTAGAAAATCATTTGTTTACCTGGTTATTAAATTGTCAATATAAGCTATTTGTATGTTGTAACCAAGTTGTTGCAAGAAATTCAAGTTAACATTTATGGATGAATTTGTCATATGAATGAAACATCTGTGCATACTTATGTAAATTAATCTTAGAATAATTTGGTTCTAAATGTCACAATTCCTATGTAAAATGACAAACAGACTCGATTCATATTTGATTCCTTTCAGGTATAGACTTGGCAAACCATCAAAGCAGTATGCTCCTTGGTATGACACCGTATTGAAAACTGCAAGGCTAGCTATAAGCATTATCACCTTGTTGAAGGAACAGAGCCGAGTATCACGACTTTCCTTTGGAGATGTCATTAAGAAAGTATCTGAGTTTAATCAGAAACATAGTTCTTACATTTCTTCTGATCCATTGACTGTTGAGAGATATGTTGTTGTCCATGGACAGATAATTCTGCAACTGTTTGCAGAATTTCCTGATGACATGATCAGAAAGTCTGCATTTGTGACTGGTCTTGCAAACAAAATGGAAGAGCGACACCATACCAAATGGTTAGTGAAGAAGAAAAAAGTTGTGCCAAGGAGTGAACCAAATTTAAATCCCAGGGCAGCAGTGGGTCCTATTGTATCAAAGAGGAAAGCTATGCAAGCTACAACAACAAGGCTGATCAATAGAATATGGGGAGAGTATTACTCAAACCACTTGCCAGAAGATTCAAAAGAGGGAACTGCTACTGAGTTAAAGGATGAGGATGAAGTGGAGGAACAGGAAGAAAATGAAGATGAGGACAATGAAGACGAGACAATACTTTTGGAGGGAACCCCAAAGCCACATTCAGCTTCAAAGCAGACTAAAACATTTTCTGCTGAGACAGAAATAAGATGGGAAGGGGAACCTGAAGGGAAGACTAGTTCTGGATATCATGTTTATAAACAGGCAATCATTCATGGAGAAGTTGTTTCTGTAGGAAGCTCTGTTTTAGTGGAAGTTGAAGAAGCAGATGAACTTCCAGACATATATTATGTTGAATATATGTTTGAATCAAAGAATGGGAGAAAAATGTTTCATGGTAGGATGATGCAGCGTGGTTTTCAGACTGTTCTTGGCAATGCTGCTAATGAGAGAGAGGTGTTTTTGACTAATGAGTGCAGGGATTTGGGGCTGCAGGATGTCAAGCAGACAGTTGTTGTGAGTATTCAAAAAAAGCCTTGGGGGCATCAGCATCGAAAGGACAATATTGCTGCAGATAGAGTTGACAGGGCTAGAGCAGAAGAAAGGAAGAAGAAAAGACTACCTACTGAATATTACTGTAAAAGCCTGTACTGGCCTGAAAGAGGTGCTTTCTTTAGCCTTCCATTCAATACTATGGGTCTAGGGTCTGGTGTTTGCCCATCTTGCAAAATACAGGACACTCAAAAGGAGAAGGATATTTTCAAAGTACTTTCCTCCAAGTCTGGTTTCCTATTGAAAGGAACCGAGTATTCTCTTAATGATTATATTTATGCAAGTCCTTTTGAATTTGAGGAAAAGATAGAGCAAGGGACCCATAAGAGTGGGAGGAATGTAGGGTTGAAAGCTTATGTTGTGTGCCAAGTGCTTGAGATCATTGTCAAAAAGGAAATAAAACAAGCTGACTCAAGATCTACACAGATCAAAATCAGAAGGTTCTTCAGACCAGAAGATGTATCAGATGAGAAGGCTTACAGCTCTGATATACGAGAGGTATAAGCTACTTAGATGTTAAGTGAGTCAATCCATACACATACATGCACATAGGAGAGATATCAAAATGGTTTTACTGAAAGAGCGACTAAAACTGGCTATTGTTTTTGTATCAGTCTTAGACAGCATGATTCTTTGAATTATTTTAATATGATTTTCTGTAAGTCATCCATGCTTGATCTCACTGATTTTGTATGTTTTTATATTGACTTACATTTCATGATTTATATTTTAGGTGTATTACAGTGAGGAAACACATATAATCTGTGTGCAATCTGTAGAAGGGAAATGTGAAGTCAGAAAGAAGAATGACATTTCTGAACCCAGTGCCCCTGGATTCTTCCAAAATGTATTTTTCTGTGAGTACTTGTATGAGCCTGCCAGTGGCTCGCTGAAGAAGGTATTGTGTTATACAAGTGTATAATGTGCCTGTTAAGGGTTTTTTTTTTTTTTTTTTTTTTTTTTTT